CCCTCTACTCCAACCCCCCCCCCCCCCGCCTCCCTACCCCCTTACCATGCTGCCTGGAGCACCGGTGGCTGGCGGCGCTACAGCCGCGCTGCCCAGCTGGAGCCAGGTCACGCCACCGCCACCACACAGCTCAGAGACCGGGTCAGGCCGGGCTCTGCAGCTGCGCTGCCCCAGGAACTCACAGCCCCGCCACCCAGAGCATTGCGCCGGTGGTGGAGTGAGCTGTGGCTGCAGGGGAAGGGGAACAGCAGGGGAGGTGCCGGGGCTAGCCTCCTGGGCCAGGAGCTCGGGGCTGGGCAGGATGGTCCCGCAGGCCGTCGTTTGCCCACCCCTGGTCTAGATAATACTTAGTTCTGCCATGAGTGCAGGGGACTGGACTAGATGACCTCTCGAGGCCCTTCCAGTGGTATGATTCTATGACGTCAGGAACTCAGCCAGAGGTTATGGGTCTAGAATAGGAATGAGTGGGTGAGGTTCTGTGGTCTGCAAAGTGCAGGAGGTTAGACCAGATGATCACAATGGTCCCGTCTGGCCTTAAAGTCTATGAGTCTATAAGAGTCATGAGAATGATTAAAGAATTGGATAACATGCCTTATAGTGATAGACTCTAGACTCAATCTGTTTAGCTTAACAGAGAGAAGGCTAAGGGGTGGCTTGATCACACTCTGTACGTACCTGCATGAGGAACAAAACTTTGATAATGGGCTCTTCAGTCTAGCAGACAAAGGTATAACAAGAGCTAATGGCTGGACATTGACATTAGACAAATTCAGACTAAATAAAGCACCATTTTTTTTTAACAGTGGAACACCTTACCAAGGGCTGTGGTGGAGTCCCCATCACTGGCAATTTTAAAATCCAGATTCGATGTTTTTCTAAAAAATATGCTCTCGTTCAAACAGAAATTAATTCAGGGAAGACCCACGGCCTGTCTTATCCAGGAGATCACGCTTGTTAATCATAATGGTCCTTTCCGGCCTTATAAAGCTGCGAATGAGTAAATAAATCAGCCCCCGACACAGAAATGCACACTTAGGCTACATCTACACTACAGGGGGGAGTCGATTTAAGATACGCAAATTCAGCTACGCGAATAGCGTAGCTGAATTCGACGTATCACAGCCGACTTACCCCGCTGTGAGGACGGTGGCAAAATCGACCTCTGCAGCTTCCTGTCAACGGCGCTTACTCCCACCTCCGCTGGTGGAGTAAGAGCGTCGATTCGGGGATCGATTGTCGCGTCCCGACGGGACGCGATAAATCGATCCCCGAGAGGTCGATTTCTACCCGCCGATTCAGGCGGGTAGTGTAGACCTAGCCTTAGTGTCAACCGAACACTGCCATCCAGTGACTGCACGTATATTATATACTCCTGGGGGAATTCTGCCCCACTGAACGCATACAGAATTCATATCCTCTGCAGATTTCTTTGCTCCCCACAGAAAAATGGGGAAGCAAACAAATCTGCGGGGGACACACGCTGCTTCCCAGGGAACCCGGACATCTCTCTTCGAGCACCTGGAGCAACCGGTGGAGACGTAAATCACTGCGGGGGGTGCAGGGCTGGGCACGTGTGGGGAAACATCAATCACTGCCAGGCGGACGGGGCTGGGCATGCATGTGACTGAATGAGCGAGAGAGGCTATTGCAACACACCCGGCATGGAGGGATAGAGCTTCAGGTTGTTTGGAGGTAGGCTCAAGGCAGGCTTTATCCCCTCAAGAAGGCTAACGGCATTTTGGGCTGTATAAGTAGGGGCATTGCCAGCAGATCGAGGGACGTGATCATTCCCCTCTATTCAGCATTGGTGAGACCTCATCTGGAGTACTGTGTCCAGTTTTGGGCCCCACACTACAAGAAGGATGTGGAAAAACTTGAAAGAGTCCAGCAAAGGGCAACCAAAATGATTAGGGGGCTGGAGCACATGACTTATGAGGAGAGGCTGAAGGAACTGGGATTGTTTAGTCTGCAGAAGAGAAGAATGAGGGGGGATTTGGTAACTGCTTTCAACTACCTGAAAGGGGGTTCCAAAGAGGATGGATCTAGATTGTTCTCAGTGGTACCAGATGTCAGAACAAGGAGTAATGGTCTCAAGTTGCAGTGGGGGAGGTTTAGGCTGGATATTAGGAACAACTTTTTCACTAGGAGGGTGGTGGAATCTCCTTCCTTAGAGGTTTTTAAGTTCAGGCTTGACAAAGCCCTGGCTGGGATGATTTAGTTGGGGGTTGGTCCTGCTTTGAGCAGGGGTTGGACTAGATGACCTCCTGAGGTCCCTTCCAACCCTGATATTCTATTCTATTCTATTCTATTCTATTCTATTCTATTCTAAGAAGAGCAGAAAATGTAGCAGCCTTCCTGCTTAGTTGTTACTGTTCCTACTGTTATTGAATTGTTCCCATTCTTAATCAATTCCCCCAGCAGCATAAAACAGGTGTAAAAGTTTTAAGGCTCCTCTACGTTGCCAGAGTGGTATAAAGGCGCCTTATTGTAAATGACAGGAAGGGAATCCTCAGCTAGGAAGATCTATGTGGTTTCTTGCTTTTTTTCCTCTCCCCGAGTGGCACAATGGAGATAGATTACAGTTCAGGATCTATTTTACTTACTCATTAAAAAAAAAAGACTTTGAGGGCAAATAAAACATTTGTCAAGCAGTCAATAAAATGTCAGGACAGTCAGAACCGAGCACTTCCCGAAGTAGCCAGGCAGGTCCAGATGAAGTTACCAAAGGGATATTCATTCTTGTGCATGACGTGAATGGCTTTAACATCCTGCACCGAAAACAGCTACACCAGCTTCTCATGCAAAACTGCACGCGAAGGGGGGCAAATTATTTTGCGCATCCTGCAATGTTGTTCTCAATCATGACCAACAGTCTGTAATTTGTTGATCATTTTGCCTTAAAAAAAAAACGCAAACTGAAGGAAGATATGGCTCAAGAGGAAGGCAGAAACATGTACACTGAAAAACAAAACACAGGTGGAGAAAGAACGTGTGGAGGTGAGTGGAAATATCAGAAAATGTTATAATATAGAAAAATAAGATAAGTAGCTTAGAAGAGCTATAGCGATGGGGTCTCCGCTTGCTTGGAGATCTTGAATAGACAGCTCTGTTTTTAAACTTTTTTTAAGTGATGACTATGGTCAGTTTTCTGTTGATAATAATACACTCTACACTGTCACTTTTGCATTTTCATGTGATGTTCTACAGTCGACTGTAATTTAATAATGCACTTTTGTTATTGAGTGTGAGTCTCCTGAATAGAGGCATAAGCCAAATAATTAAATATTACAATATATATATAATCATGTGATCATTTACTATACTATAAATCTAAATTAAAATCTAGACATTCGGAACTAAATGCAGGGGGAGGGATAGCTCAGTGGTTTGAGCATTGGCCTGCTAAACCTAGGGTTATGAGTTCAATCCTTGAGGGGGCCATTTTGGGATCTGGGGCAAAAATCTGTCAGGGGATTGGTCGTGCTTTGAGCAGGGGGTTGGACTAGATGACCTCCTGAGGTCCCTTCCAACCCTGATATTCTATGATTCTATAATGTGAATAAATGTATTAATCTAAGATTAAAGATGTCACATGGATAGTAAACATTGGTGCTCACTCAAGACTTATCTAACTTCTCTACTTTCAGATTTTTACAGCATGAGTGAAGACACTAGCGGGTGCCAACATTCCTATGTCAAAGACTGACCACCCACTTGTGCAAGATTTTCTTGACAGCAGGGTCCGGAACGGTGGTGCAATTCCTGATAGGACACAATTGACTGAGGCACTCACCCAAAGTGTCCCTCAAAGAAAAGGAAAACTTAAAACTGAAGCTTAAAGACAAGAAAATCGCTGTTATCTTTGATGACTGTACTGTTTGCACCATTAGAACCTGCTTGCCATGGGCATGTTAACTCTTTTTTGGTGGATAAAGTGTTTTTGATGCTGTTAATCAGTCAGCTGTTTCACAGGCTGTAGTCAAAGCAGGAAATGAGTACCAGCTTGATTATGAAAATGTTTTAGTAATTGATACTGACAATGTTAGTTGCATGTAAAAGGCATTTAATTCTGTGTATTTGACACTGTTTCCAAATTCTGTCCATATCACCTGTTTAGCACGTATTGTTAATTTAATTAGTGGATCATTTCGAAAGCCTTTTCAGCTGGTTGATACACATGTAAAGTGCTTCAAAAACATGTTCTATAACTCTGGTAGTAGGAAAGTGTGGTACCTCCATTTCATTAACCAGAAACTACAACAGGAGTCTCCAGATGCAAAAGCATCCAGACCTTCTAGCCCGGGTAGAACATGCTGGAACATCTGGTTCCATGATATTCAGTATCACGCTAAGAACTTTCAGTTCTACAAAGAGTTCTTCAGTGAAGAGAGCAACAGCAACTCCTCAGTTTCTGTGCTAACTGTTCAGAAAATGCTGAATGACCCAACTAAATATGTGTTATTGAAAGTACAGGTCGCTTTTGTACAGATCGCTTTTCTAGCACAGAAAGGTGAACAAATTCTCAGTTTAAATCTGGCATTTGCAAGCAGGAAGCCTTGCACTGTGAAAGCATTTGACCTTCTGGAAGAAGAGCAGATATATTGCAGTTCACATCTAGAGCTCCCTTCAGAAAGCACCTCAGAGTTTTTCAAATGTAGGGAAAATGTATCTCCTGTTGAAAGACTTGTCTTTCTAGATCTCTTTAAAGAGGCATTCCATGAAGCTTCTCAAAAGCTTGACAAATATTTGTCCTTTGGACAACCAGGTCTGAATTTACTGAAGGCTTGTAGGTTATTTGGTCCTCATTGTGTTTATATCTTGCCAATACACTGTGTGAGTATTTTCAAGCAATACCTGGTTTTTCTGAGGTACCTGAACAGGAGCTAAAACTGTACAGGGAAAAGATTGTGCTTGAAGCTATTCAAAGTAAACCTATTTTTGTAGACCTCCAAGTCTTTTGGCTTTCGGTGAAAGAGAAGATTCCAAATATCGCCAAATTGGCCTTGAATTGCATAAATGCTGTCTCAAACCCTGCAGATGGAAAGAGGAAGTTTTTCACTGTACAATTTTATCCTTTCCGCAGGAAGGAAATCACTAAATGAGAAAAACTTGAAGGCTCTTTGTTTTCTGTACTATAATTTAAATAAAAATACTGGATTGCATTGAAATGCAGGACAATGATTAGCAAAAATGAATGACTTTCATATGTGAAAGTCTGAGCAATTTAAAGTGACATTCTACTTTATTTTTATTCTGCAGTTTGGTGTTCTGTAATGTAATTTCAATGAAAATCCAGATTATCACTGGAATGCGGGTATTGGTTACCAAGTATCTGCAATGTAACTTTCATGTGTTTAGGAAATGCTGGATTGTTGTTGTGACTTTTTTCTGTATTGCAGTTTAAATAAATTACTAAAATAATTGAAACGGGCATGATTATATTGCGTTATTTTGACAAATAAAATATGGAGAATTTTGCAGAATTTTTGGGGCAGAATTCCCCAGGAGTAAAATTATACAAGTTCTTCCAATGTTGTATATACATCCTATTAGTCACTGCCCATTCTGTAAGATCAGCAACTATAGAAATCAAATTTGCTTGGCAAAAATCAATCCCTGGTGTAAATATTGAAGTCAGGGGAGTTACCCTCAGGATGATGGCAAATTAATGCATAAGCATATCAAGAAATGGCAAGGGAGACTGAAGGAGCAAGGTATCAGGATAGCATCTCAGATTGGCAGATGGTTTGGGTGTATATTGGAACTTTGTGTGGGTAGAAGATTGAGTGTTATCTAGGGGGTATGCATCTATGTCATTTGACTAAGGAAGCATGTAGCATCTCTTATGCTCACGCAGTGCCATGGAAATAGCAGCTGATACATAGACCATTCCTTAACCCCTTCACTGCTGCCTGTACACACATGCCTCACTGCAGCAGAAGAAGGATGCAATGAAGAAGCCTTGTCTCGCAAATAGGACACCTGTAGAGAAATCAGCCAGGCCACCAGCTTTTGCTTCATGGATATTCATATTGGAAACCTGAGATTTGGCAACAAAAAATCATAGATTTCACCCTAGGGGAAAAATCATTTCCAGTTGTGACTATTTCACCCAGGCTGCAGTTAGGAACTTGGCCTGGGGTGCAACTTTGCTCTCTAGATAGTGAAGTCTCATTTGTTTTTGAAAGAAAAAAAAAACACTTTTTCCTTGGTGAAGTGGCATGGGGTTTATGCTTGTGGACGTTGCCTTTCATGTTGCAAAAGAGAAAGTAAAGAAAGAAAAGGTGGCATTTTTGCAAGTGGAAAAACATGTGTTGCCCTAATTGTCTAGGTGCTTACATGGCTTCCTTCAATGTGGTCTGCAAACATCTCCATGGTATCTGAGTACTTCCATGGTAATGACACGTTGTAGGAGCATATCCTGGAACATCTGGTTGTCACCAAGTGGTGTAGAGCGAATATAACACCCTTTCTCTGGATGTATAATCACATCAATCACCCTGATCGATTGGTCCATCAGCCCTTGCAGAGAGCACTGATCACAACACATCATTCATGTTGTTCTAGCCAGGCCTTCAGCCACCTGCATTATTTCTCCCGATGGGCTTTCTCAGGCTGAAACATTAAAAAATTGTTTTGTTGTTGTTTAATCTAGCAAGAACAAGAACCTCTTCCTCACTGGGATGACTGGGAAAGACCCAGAGAAGAATTCAGTCTGGTCAAGAAGCTGGGAGCTGGATACTTTGGAGAAGTCTATGAAGGATACTGGAAAAACAAGGTCAAAGTTGCAATTAAAACAATCCCCAAAGGTGAGAACTTTTATTCTGGAGGAATGTTTGTGCGCTTTATCTAGAGAGTGTAGCGGTGGCTTGTCGTCTTTTTGCTGCTTCAGCCTCCCCCACTGTCTGGCTACTCTCAACCGCTGGCCAAACCGAAACTCTGCCCTTTTCAGTATAACGAGAGTCCATTGACAACAAACAACTGTTCCAACCCAAGTTGAAGCCTTTACCCCTGAGTCCAGTGCTTCTCACACAGGCCGCTCCCGAACAAAGAACTTACCCCTCCCACAGTTCCGGACTCCTGCCTGCTTCTTTGCCCTTTTCCCTGGATCTTTCTCAGACTGCTTCCCACAGCCCCTTCTAACCTCCTTCCCTGATTTCCTCTCAGCAAAGACCCCAGTCCCTGTGGCAGCAGGCCTCTCCTACCTGTCAACAGAAGATTATTATAGGCAGGAGATGGAAATAGAGTTAATTTATACTCCTGCTCCATTTCTCAGGATTCTTTTCTCTGGCCTATGATTGCAAGAGTGCCACTGGGAACTACAACTCCCAGAATGCCTTGAATCCTAGAATCATAGAATATCAGGGTTGGAAGGGACCTCAAGAGGTCATCTAGTCCAACCCCCTGCTCAAAGCAGGACCAATTCCCAACTAAATCATCCCAGCCAGGGCTTTGTCAAGCCGGGTCTTAAAAACCTCTAAGGAAGGAGATTCCACCACCTCCATAGGTAACCCATTCCAGTGCTTCACCACCCTCCTCCTAGTGAGATAGTTTTTCCTAATATCCAACCTGGACCTCCCCCACTGCAACTTGAGACCATTGCTCCTTGTTCTGTCATCTGCCACCACTGAGAACAGCCGAGCTCCATCCTCTTTGGAACCCCCCTTCAGGTAGTTGAAGGCTGCTATCAAATCCCCCCTCATTCTTCTCTTCTGGAGACTAAACAATCCCAGTTCCCTCAGCCTCTCCTCATAAGTCATGTGCTCCAGACCCCTAATCATTTTTGTTGCCCTCCGTTGGACTCTTTCCAATTTTTCCACATCCTTCTTGTAGTGTGGGGCCCAAAACTGGACACAGTACTCCAGATGAGGCCTCACCAATGTCGAATGCATGGGTAGGGTGCATGGGTAGGGTGGTGTCACTGTAGACCTGCATTCCACTCTGTGGTAGAGGGTCATCAGTCGTTGTTGTGGGTGGTTTTTTTTTGTTTGTTTGTTTTTTTAAGGGTCGTGAAGAAATGCAAAGTATTTGTAACCACAGTGGTTATGGTGCAAACTCACCCCCCCACCCCTGAGGCTTGCCTTTATCCTTGACTTATATAATAACAAAGCCTTGGGGCAGGCCTGTACCTACAACATGAACGGTAGCCCCAACTCCGAGCAGGCTGTTCCTAGGGTTTCTCTCTGAAAGACCTTCCTCCTGCTTTCTCTGGCTCCAGAAAGGCTACCCTAGGTTAAAACCCAGCCAGTTCTATGGATTTAAGTGTGTTAGCCTGCATCTTAATGAGTATTGAGAGACCTTCTCACTTGTGTGAAGCTAATTTAGCCAACATGATTGAAAAACACTTCCTTTGTGCCCATCAGGACATGGCTTTGTAGTCCTAAAATGGAGATAAGATCCACTTGGTCCAGCTGCCAAAATGAGTCACTAAAGTCCCCTGACGCCATGCAGGGTCCTAAAGCTGATACCCAGTATGGCAAAATAGCCAATGTTGGTATGGTGGGTCCCACGCTTTTCTTGGTGAGGGGTGCTAGGACACCGTCCCTTGCCCCGCTAGTGGCCCGGGAAGGTGGTAGAGGAGAGAAGCGGGGAAGGAGTCTGGGTTTGCTCCTCACCCTGAGCCCCAGCCCCTCTAAACCCCAGCAGGTTTCTTACCCTCTTCCCCCTTGGGTAGGGTTACCCTGAGTCCTTGACACTGGGGAAGGGAGTTTCCCTTCCCTCCAAACTCCAGTCCTCTCTCCTTCCTCCCACCACCCTGTCTGCCTGAAGCAGGGTTTTTTATTAGGTTCCTGACAGGGCCTTAATTGAAGGTGCTCCAATTAACCTGTAGTAACCTTCCCTACTCTACAGGGAACCGCGCCTTAGTAGGCCTAAGGCTTATACCCGCCCACTTCCCAGCACCCAATAAGATCACTCTCCCACTGCTCCCTGGCCCTGCTGTGTCTCACCCATCACAGTATTGGTATGCTGAGAGGTACGGGTGACTGAATGGGTCACAAACCTCTTTGAGATGGGGTGTGAATGCACCCTTCAATTAACACAACTCTCAGGATAAGTTAAGCACAAGTGCCTCCCCTAAGATGACAGGGGTTGTGAACCCACCCAGAAGTTTTACTGGGTGGGCAGAGCAGAGGAGCTTTTGGCTGAGGTGAGTACAATGTGACCCTGGAAAAGCTAGAGAGTCTGGTGTTGGCTAAAAAGGCTTGGGGCCATAAGCTAAGACACTGCTTCTTTTGTTCTCGACGACTCCTGCATTCAGAGAAGCAGGGCTTTGGACTATTTCCTTGTAGGTTGTGGTAGGCAACCTTTCAGAAGTGGTGTGCTGAGTCTTCATTTATTCACTCTAATTTAAGGTTTTGTGTGCCAGTGATACATTTTAACATTTTTAGAAGGTCTCTTTCTATAAGTCTATAAGATAGAACTAAACTATTGTTGATTGTAAAGTAAATAAGGGTTTTAAAAGGTTTAAGAAGCTTCATTTAAAATGAAATTAAAATGCAGAGGCCCCCTGGACCGGTGGCCAAGACCCGAGCAGTGTGAGTGCCACTGAAAATCAGCACACGTGCCATAGGTTGCTTACTCCTGTTGTAAATAAACAAGATTGCATCAAAGAAAATGCCAGAGTCCATCAATTTCTGCTTCCAACTGGAACATCCTCCCGGCCCCGAAATTTGACTAGCTGCTTAGGTCGAAAAGGAGCAACAGTATTAATATTGTCATCTCAAGAGTAACACCAGAGACTAGCTCTGTGAAATGCCCCATTTTAGGATTCTGCATCTCTTATCTACGAAGGGGTGTTAGTGGGACAATTTCTTTGTCCAGATATTCTTAGTTGCTTTATGATGGACGTGAATGCCCGTGTCTCCATCTCTTTTAGGTTTCTGCCAATAGCTTCTTGGACTTGGAAGAGGTAATTCAATGTAAAGATCTCTATTAAAGCACCTCATTCCTTTCCATTCTCTTTTCTTACGTGGCTCCTTTGCAGCTGACCTGACGTACCAGGCCACTTTCAAGAACGAAACCGAGGTCATGAAGAATCTGAGGCACAAGCACATCCTCTCCCTCTATGCCATCTCTTCTGTTGGAGATCCTGTCTACATCATCACCGAGCTCATGCTCAAAGGAAACCTGCTAGATTTTCTCCGAGGTAAGGCAGATGAGTGGTGCTCCCTGGTGACTTCAAACCATGGTGAGTGGAGAAAGAGGTTTGATCTTCAAGCTGCCCCCTCCCTTCTTCCTTAACTTACAGCGATGATACAAGCTTAGGTTAAAAACAGGGCACTGGAGGATGTATCATAAAAACTAGAGGATGATCTCCAGGAAGGAGCTGTCTCTGGAACAAGTATGACTGATCTAGTAGTAGGTGAAGCCAGTGGCAGCTGTGGTAGTTCAGGCAGTAGCTGTCTCATGTAGGGCACCCAACAATTGAGGCCTCCAAAATAATTGGTGGACATTTTTGAAAATGGTGGTCTAGTCTCTTAGGAACCACAGGTACTTCACAGTTCTGGGATTAAGCAGGTGGAAAGTGACCCAGGGTTCACTTTTTGAAATGACCTAAGTGTCTTAAGAAGCTAAGTCTCTCATTGGACTCCTAAGGTGCAGATTTTCAAAGGTATTTTAGGTCCCTACACTCTTGGGAGTTAAGCATCTAAATACCTTTGAGGCTCAGGGCCTAAGTCACTTTTTAAAAAGAAATTTAGGGTCCTAAGTGACTTAGTTGCTTTTGAAAATTTTAGCCCAAGACAATTGTGGCGGGTAGATACTAAACCCATGTCAGTGGTTACCTTATACTTTTCAATGGCGGAGATAATTTAATTGCGGGGAAAAGTCAGAGGCACAATTTCATCCTTGCTGTCCATCCATCATTGGTTTTAACAACAGCAGGGATGGAATTCACTAAGTTCAGTGATGTCATGCAAGGAAATGCAATACAGAGATCTATTGTGTTGCGGGTATGCTCTTACCCTTGTTTGATTTCTACACAGGCTTCCATGACCAGCTAAGATCTTGCTTTGCCTTTTCACCACAGTGTGCCTTCCACCACCCAGAGCTATTTTCCTGTCTTTGATCCACATGGCCGTTGGAGCTAGATAATAATAGAAGGATCTTTTGTTCACTTTTTATCAGCGTCAGAAGGGGAGCATCTGGAAATGACCGACCTGGTTGACATGGCATCCCAAGTGGCTGATGGGATGTGCTACTTAGAGTCTCAGAATTTTATTCACCGAGATTTAGCTGCAAGAAATATTCTTGTTGGAGAAAACAACATCTGCAAAGTGGGTGACTTTGGCCTGGCCAGGCTTATCAAGGTATTGTAAATCAATTCAGGGCTGACAGTGGTTGGTTTGGAAGGGGGAAGTAAGGAAATGTGATTGCTGAACCCTGATGAATCCCTCAATGAGCTTATGATAACATAAGCCCACTGATGGTTAATAACCATGAGCCATAATCTGCTCCGAGTTACCCCCATGCAACCATGGATTTACTCCACGGCGCTCAGAATACATTCCCCTCTGAGTAATGTTAAAATGTGGCTAACTTTGGACACACAAATTAATGGAGCAACAGGCGCATTTGCAAAGGAATTGTCTCAGGGCCTGATTCTGCAACCCATTCTCATGCAGGATAGAGTTTACTCATGTGAGTAATTCCATTCAACTCAGCGGGCGACAAGAGGTGAGGAAGGATTGTAGAATAAGGCGGGTTGGAATGGATCCAATGATGAGTAGATGGGAGAAGCTTTCCACAGCAGGTGCTTCTCAACCCCGAAACAACATCAACGCCGAATACACTAATGATCTCTTACGGCCAAATCCCTCCTAGTTTTCTGTGATTGCAGAAGGCCTGGGAGCTGCGGAACCAGTGTGGTTGCATTGGCCAAGAGTTGGGCGGCAGGATATAGAGCCAATATGGGATGTGAAGCCGTCCATCGAGGCTCCCTGCCCAGTAGCATGTAGGGAGAAGGCCAGGGATGGGATCTCTGTGGGGATTGCGGGAGCATGGGAGAGTCATGGAATATTGTGCTGGGCTGATGTGGACTGCACGGAGGAGCTCCACAGCTAGTGTGGGAGGGTGATTCCTCTCTTTCTGCTTTGCCCAGTTTTTCAGATTGGGCTCATGCCTGGTCCTTGGAGAGCAATTACCCAGTCTCACCTGCTGTAAAATCCCAGTTTTGTTTCCTTCAGTCCAAACCGAATGGCACCAATTTTTGACATCTGGAGGGAGCAGAGCGCTGCTTCCAGGAACTGTATCTACCTCTCCTTTTAATCACAGATCCTTTGTGTTTGCAGGATGATGTGTACTTGTCTTACTCCCACAATATCCCCTATAAATGGACAGCCCCTGAGGCCATTTCCCACGGACGCTATTCCATCAAGTCCGATGTTTGGTCTTTTGGGATCCTTCTGTATGAAATTATCACCTATGGGCAGATTCCATACCCAGGTATTGTGCCTGAATGGCGAGGAGTTGCACACAGCATAAGTTTTAATTTCACGAGGAATCGTGGAAAGCACCTGCTTTGTGTTTGGTTTGGAGTCCAAGGTAGAGGCATTGGCAAGAAGCCGTGATGACTAGAGCTGTGCAAATAATGGATTTTTCAGGTCACTGGCTATTCTGAAAAAGGAAAGAAAATTGTTTTGATTTTGAGCATTTTGGAAAAGTTTTTAATTTGTTTTTAAATAAGATAAAGGAAATTTTGAAACAAAAAGTCACTTCAAATGGGAAGATGAATACATTTCATTTGGGATTTTCTAAATGAAACATTTTGGTTCTTTTGGCATTTTTTAAAAGTTGTTTTTGAACAGAAACTATTTGATGAAACTGACATGTTTCGATGTTACCAAATCTGCATTCTTCATTGAAAATAAATGTCAAACATTTTCACCCAGCTCTTGTGCTGACAAGATGCACACGTTACGGGCATCAAAGCTTGGGAAAACACTCTTCTTCTGATTGCATCACAGTATAAAGCAAGATTAAAGTCTCCTTTCTGCCCTCAGTTAACCAGCATCTTTCCCACTGACTTCCACGAGTGTAACTCAGGGCAGAATTGAGCATGGCAATTTATATTCCAGCCACTTTCCCAAGTGCGTACAAGAATGCTTCAAGAAGGAATAATGGCACTTACCCCCAAAGATACTGGATTCCAGTTGTTATTCTGGCTGTACTTGAGTTATGCTTCTAATATACTTTTTCTTCCTTATTTGTAGGTATGAGTAACAGCGAGGTTTGCAAAAAAGTCCAAACAGGTTTCCAAATGTTCCGCCCGCCAAAGTGCCCACCCATGCTCTATGAAATCATGCGCAAGTGCTGGCACCTGAGTCCAGATCAGAGGCCTGACTTCCAGTACCTCAAAGGGAAACTCCACAGTTTCACGCTCTACGAGAACCCAGGGCGATAGCTGCACCAGGAGCCCTTCTCTTTCTGTTTCCTTTCATCTCTTTTGAAGCCTGACATTTCTGTTATAAAGACCTCGGGGATATGAAACCAATAGCTCTCTGGCCTCTGAAACAAGTACACAATGTAGCCTTGGATATCTGCAGGCTTTTCCTAGGTCATTTTCTGATATACTAAGGATACATGCTTAAAGAACAACTGTTTCCAGAGAAGATTAATCTATTTCAGGAGCAAGGACTCATGTCACTTATCAATCATTTCACACACAAATCTGAAGCAACACAAGCAAAACCATTTGGGGTTGATTCTCTCCCAATAAAAGACAATACATTCCTTCTGTCCACCTTGCAAATTCATTTCAAGACTTCCTGCTGACCAGACGGTTGTATAGTTACGCCTGCTCCACAGACGCGATGGTGTTCTGTAAGACTTAATTTTTGCAGTAATGTTAGAATGTGTAAATGATTAGCAAAATCTATGACAATAATCTACATGTCCCGGGGGGAACTTTTATTGGACTCCACTGTGAGGAATAACAGAATGATCAGCTGTGCAAGACTCCAGGGTCTTGGAAAGGGAGCAATGGGAATCTACTGGGAAAGGTGGATGGATCAGTAGAAAGAGAGAACACCTGATTCCATTCAAAATGTGCTGTAGGGAGCCCGTGCCTTGAACTGCAAGTGTGGATTCTGTTGCTTTGCTTCAATACAAATTGTTATACACTGACTGCTGCGCTAGGTGGGGTCACTGGATGCTCCCCCTGTTCAAAAAGTGCATCATCGTGGTCATTAATGTATAATTCTGCACCACACAGTGGGTGCAATCCAGGATATATTTTTAGAATGATGAGTGTTGGCCCCAAATCCATTATGTTCCCTTTCAATCCATCTTTTTTTTTTTATTTGCTCCACTCCCCATTATACAACATAACTGTCCCTGTATTTTAACTATCTCAAATCACCAGCTGGGTGGGAGGGGGGAACGCCATAGTCCTAGCCCGAAGTCTAGGTCAATGCTTGCCCGAAAAGCTGCCAAGCATCAACCTCAGACTGTGTTGAACCCGCAGAAGAAAAATTCTGCCTCCAGAAATCTTCCCCCAGGAGTGCCCAGCCCTGCTTTCAGTTCTCTAGCTTCTGAATGGAAGGATTGTCACCCTGAGCATCTGAGCTGGCCTGTGCAGGATTCCAAGTGCAGACGAGGGAGAGGAGAATGAACCGTCGAGGTGGAAGATGCTGGGGTGTAACGCTACACCCTGAATAGCGAAGCGTCAGGGCTAGACTTTCTAGGGCTAGCTAAAACAATGACATTCAGGTTGATTAGGAAGGAGCAGCTATAAGGCATTGGAAGGGATATAAACCCTCATGCCCTAGGGCATAACCCCACCTCTAATTAGTGGTAGTGAGGAGGAAATACTTTTCTTGTAGACAGGTTATCCCAAGACTGATATTGCAGGGTACCTTACCCACTGAGACAGCTGGTGCTGGCTGCTGTCAGACACAGGATACTGGACTCGATGGCTCTTGGACCTGGTCTAGTCTGGCAGTTCCTATGTTCCCATGGAAGGCTAATGGGGAAAATACCATCCCCTGCTTAACATATAAAGTAATCGGGGTGACCTCTGTGAGGAGCACTAAGCATGAAGGGAAAATCACCACACAGTGAGCGCCCGTAGGGAGGGAAGGAGCGGAATTAGGTTGATAAGACGTTGGCAGGGGAGTCCAAAGAACCAGTTCCAGGCCTTGGTCACTTATGGGAATGAGAATTGGCTGGAGTCAGAGTTTATTCATGGCCTAGCAGGGCTGCCCCTCCCCAGCAGGAATAAGTGATGTCGAGGAGGTTTGAGTACCACAACCACTGCCATGACTGGAGAGGCAATCATTAGAGGACTGCGCACATCATTGCTTCTGTAAGCCAAGCTGATGGCATCCACCCAGGGCTCCTTGCAACCCTCATTCCCCTGCCCCTCCCCCCAAGATTTGTGCGTGCCACCCTCCCATCCCCCTTTATTTCAGGGAATAACTGTAACCCTCCCCCCAGCCCTCCCTCATTCCAGGGGCTCTGTGTCCTCCCAGTTCCCCCTGCCCCCCCATATCAGGATCCCCTGCTATCCCCACTTTCACCCATTCCTTCCTCTCTCCCACACCAGGGGTTGTGTGTCCTGCCTAGTCCCTTCTTCCCCCTGCCAGAGGCTCTGGGGGGGAAGGGGGGGTTCCATGACACCCTTTGAGTCCTGGGGTTCTATGTCCCAACTAGGGGGGGGGGTTCCAGGTGTTCTGCATGCCCCACCCATCCCTGGGGTTCTGTGTCCCTCCATTCCCTGCCTCTCCCACATTCCAGGGCCTCTGTGTGCTCCCCTTCCTCCCAGAGGCTCTCTGGGGCCCCCATTCCACCCTTCCACCCCATTCCTGGGGTTGTCTCCCCCCCATTCTGGGGGCTTTTCATGGGGTCCCCCCATTCCCTGCATGCCTTCAGCTGTATGTCCCCCCCCTTGCCCTGTATGCTTGCGGCACACTGTGCCCTCCTTTGCCTGTGGCTCTGTGCACCCCCATTTCCTCCTCCTTTCCCCCCATGTTAGTGGCTCTGTGTGTCTCTCCCGTACCCGTCATGGACCAGGCTTTGGGGAGGCAGCTGGGAGGAGGGAGGAAGGAGCTCCTCCTCGCCCTCTGGCTGAGCATCTGACCCACACTCTGAGGCAGCTCGGCCTAGCGAGCAAGGAGCAAACGGCTTTTCTGGCTTTGCGATTCTCACCAACATTCCAGCCCAGTCAGCCCACCGACAGCTAGAATGTTCCCGGACATTTTGAAATTCATCAGCTGTGGTGTTCAAACGTGATTGTGTCCCATCTGGCCAAACCTAGAAATGCTGTCACGTTACATACAAAGCCTCTCTGATCTCGGGCAAAGAAGCAGAGCCGATTGGCAAATAGTAAATTTTTCACCATCCAGCATGTCACAGTACAGTTTAGGCAACAGCAATGACTGTAAATTGTGGGACTCATTGGTTTCCGCTGGTTCCCCGTCCATCCCAGTTGTCTGGAACATTATCTGCAAGTTCAAGTTCCAGGTCTGAGTCCTTACCTTCAATGATCTGGGCCCCAAAGAGCCTAAAACACCGGGATGAGGACTGTGCTCAAAAACCCTGCTCCTCACTCACAAAGGATTTCTATCACAAGGGTACAGTTTGTCTGGTCAGAAGATGGAGCTTTCTTGAGGGCTCAGATCTCACCACCTTCCATGCCACATGCAAGGCGTGCTTCTTTGCCCTCCCTTCTCTAACATACACATAGAGCAGCATGTACAGGTACACAAACAAGCCACCCTACTGAACCACGACTCGGCACACCCCGTTCTCCCCAGGGCGAGATGACGAGATACCACCCAGGTACAGATGCGTAGCCATGTTGCTTAATGCCCAACTAGCAAGTGCTCAGCTAGTCTGGTGATAAGTGCAGGATAAGACGCGACACAGAAAAAGAAGAGAAATCAGTGGACAGAAAACTCAATTCTTTCTGCCACCAGATGGTGGTAAAAACCTAGAGGGCTGCAGACTGCATTGTACAAAGATTGTCTGGGCGTGACGAGCTTTGTCTGTCTGGCTCAGGAACAAAGAAATATGTCTGCACAGTCGCTACTATGAAAAAAGGCAACCTTGGCCATTTGTAATTTGAGCCACCGGGATCCTGGTGACCAGGGGGCGGTTCTGGCCGGCTGGCTGGCTCGCTCCTTGGCAGGAGCATTCGTGCTATTCCTGTTTAATGTAAATGATATGTAGGTTGCCAGGCCGGTTTCCCTTGTTTTCTCAGTTGCTGTGCACCCAGGCAAACAGTTTTAATGCCTCACATGACACTCCCTTGTTAGCAAAAAGGAATACAAGCACTGGAGAGGTGAAGTGGAAAAGCAATGTCATGAAAGATCTCTCTGAGCATAGCATGGGCTGCAGAGAGTTCAGCTGAGGTCTTTGCACACCAGCTGACCTAGAGAACAGTGGGTCAGTTCACAGGGGGATGTCTATACGAAGTATGAAAGCTTGCACTGTGCTAACAGCTGTGGGCCTGTCGGTCTGGACCTCGTTTTCCATTAATTTGTATTGCCAACAGTAAGCAGTCAAAAACCATGAGCCAGCTCCCCCCTCCCCCCAAAATCATGTGATCTTAAAGCAAGGGTGCCAGAATGGAGTGGGGGGGGGGGAGAAGCAAGGCGCTATGGCCCTCCTGCTTTTGAAAGTGGACAGCCCTGACCCATCCACTTTTCACCATGGGCCAGGCTCTCTGCCCATCCTCTTCCCTCGAGCCTCCCCACCCCCACCCCCACGCCCCAACCAGGCCGGAAGCTGGAGCCTGGCCCGGGAAAGAGCAGGTTGGGGAGCTCGGGCAGCTGTGGAGAGCCCCGAACCCTCCACCTGCCCTGGGCAGGAGGTCTGGGGGGCGGGGATACAGGTCGGGGGCCGCTCTTGCCCCCCCCACAACCCTGGCAGGTGGAGGGACCCCGGTTAGGGTTGCCAACTTTCTAATTGTACAATACCGAACCCCGTTGACCCGCCCCCTGCCTCACCCCTTCCCTGAGGCCCCGCCCCCACGCACTCCATACCCTCTTGCTCCATTGCTCGCTCTCCCCCACCCTCACTTACTTTCACCCGGCTGGGGCAGAGGGTTGGGGTGCGGGAGGAGGTGAGGACTCCGGCTAGGGCCAGGGATGAGGGGTTTGAGGTGCAGGAGGGGGCTCAGGGCTTTGGGAGGGGGGTAGGATGCAGGCTCCAGGAGGGCGTTTGGGTGTGGGAGGGGGTTCAGGGCTGGGACAGGGGTGCAGGAGGGGGGTATGGGGTGCGGGCTGAGGCCTGGCTCTGTCGACAGTAAAGCAGCCAAACGATGCAGGCTGGGCATATCAGGGCGTTTCTGTGATGAACAGTGGGAACGGAAATACAGTCACCCTAAATGAGCTTTTGTGTATTTTTCTTTTAAGGTTTGCTTGTATTTAGTAGTGTTGGCGTGCTCCGAGGTCAGCCAGGCCCCTACCACGTCATCTTGTCTGACCTATGCCTCACAGGCCACCAACAGCACCCGCACACCAAGCCCAACAGTGGAGGGGCAGCCCCCTGGAAGGGAAAAGCAAATAAAAGGCGTCAATGCACTTTCCTAGCAAATGCAAAGCGAGCGAGAGACTAAGGCAGAGAACCAGAGCGTGAGATTCGGCGAGAGCCCTGCAGAATTCCCCTGCCTTCTCCTTGGGCATTGTTGACACACAGTTTTCATAATCATTGCTATGACAGCCCTCGTTCCCTTAGCAACCATTCCCCAGCAAGCGCGGTATCAGAGTGCAAGTTTAGAGCCACAGGAACGACCGCGTCCAAGTTGTCCTGAAGGGACCTTTAGTTAGAGGGTTTTTGGGTTTTTGTTTTTGTAAACTGTGGTTTGCAGAAGGAGGGTTGAGCTGCAGCAGGTGTGAAATGCAGCCTTGCTTCAGTGGGGGGGGGGGGGGGGTGTTATTCTGTGATGATCTGTGGGTTTGGAAAGGAAAGGATCACTGCTTCTCTCCCAGCAGGGTGACCAGACAGCAAGTGTGAAAAATCAGGACAGGGGGTGGGGGTAATAGGCACCTATATAAGACACAGCCCCAAATATTGGGACTGTCCCTATAAAATCGGAACATCTGGTCACCCGATCCCCCAGGCCCTTCCACCTGTGCATTTTGAGTGCTGAGAAGTGACACTAAATGAGTTTGGCAGCCTGGCCGCATCCTCTGCCAGCCAATCTCCTGACTCCCTTTATGCTAACTGCATATAGGGTACGTCTTCACTACCCGCCGATACGGCGGGTAGCAATCGATTTATCCGGGATCGATATATCGCGT